ATACCATCCTTGAATTTGTTTTGAGCAGCAGTATCGGTGCTTTTGTCTTGACTGCAAAATCTCGGAACCAGGCCGCGCCATATAGATCTTGCAGGACTTCAGCCTGTCTCAAGAATTGTTCCTTGAAATGCATCAAGTTTTTGGTTGTTCCTTGCTTCATAGCAAAGAACTTTTGATTCGCTTCCCAGAAATCCAAGAAATCATACTTAGCATCAGCACTCTTCTTCATGAATCGTTCAATACGTTTCAAGAGTTCGATTGGATCTTCAAGAGTAGTCGTGAAATCGGCTTCACGTAGAAGCTTGATATCCATCGCCTTCGTCACAAACTTCAGCATGATGTTTGATTTGACGGTTCTCTTGTTTGTCTCGAAGTAGGCTGATCTTCGCATGTTCTAATTGAGCTTTGCAGGATTGAGAATCTTGTTTTGAGCCAACTCTGTTTCTCTTGCAACAGCTTCAGTTTGAGTTGGAGCATTCAATCTTGGAGCAATCGCATTGAAGTCAATCGACTTTCCATCTCAAATTGATTTCACCATGTCTTTGTTAGAATAAAGCAAAATGTGCCCTATCGTGAGTGCCTTTAGCATTCAGAACAAACTCTCTGCAATCTAAATCTGTAATCCACTGTACAACACTTTCATGACGATAGTTCTCCTGTGTCTAGGAATACTTTGAGTGAAATTGTTCCTATTTGATTAATGTTTGGCTTGAATTGATGATTCAATCACAAAAGTAAGTTCAATGAATGCAGTACTTTGGGACATCTTGTATTATTCCCTACTGCATGGTACACAATACCGATATCTGACTTGTATAGGGTCATTCCCTTTTTGTGTGGATGTAGATTGTCCGACAGACTTGCGTCCGGCATACTTGTGTCAAATCCCGACATCATGATCAAAGTCCGATCGTACGTGTCGAAAACGTTGTACTTGAATAGTTTCTTTTTGGAACGTAAAAACTCATATTTTGTCATATCCCAAAAACAGTGACTGATCTTGATCTCAGATCACTTATCATTGACGAGGCTGAAGTTGGGCCGCGCGTTCAAGCACAGATGAGTGCAACTGCAACTCAGTGGTGGAGAAGGAACAACAGCATGAAGCAATCATCATTTATTAGATTGAACTACATTATGTGAGTTAACTATATACAGCTTCTTCTTTTCTCAAAGTTTTGATACCAAGACTTGGGAACTGCTCCAGCAACGGCCATAGTGTAGACTCCTTCCCACTCTTCTTTGATGGCCCTATGTTTGTCAAGCTTAATGATACCATATTCAACCTTGGTTCTAGGCTTTGAAACAGCAACGGAGGGGTCTCTTGATGATACGTTGTAGGATCCCCGCTTCTTGCCTGTTGCACCAGCTTTAATGTGAGAAAGCAAGGCTTGTTGCTGGGGGTCATTTAAGTCTGAAGACGTCTATCAAGTACAGCAGTTCTCTTTGAAGGATCCTTCATGGATTTCAAATTTGAATACTCTTGTTTGTGTTTGACATGGTAGCCCTCAAATCCTTCTTCTGAGCATATTCCATACATTCCGTGCTCACGAATAAATTCAGGAACGTGCCGCACCAAGTCATGAAGCTTTGGGAAGACATTACCGTTGGGGAAAGATCTCTCCAATGAGAATAAAGACTTGCAGCACACTTCTCGTTTTGTTGAAGCCTTTTGCTGTTCCATTTGCGTTGAGAATTCAACATCTTGGCCACCTTGTATAACGGTTTGACAACTAGCATGGCTTTGTCCATCAATTTTCCTATCTTTGCATACCTGGGCAAACTTGGATCGTAAGCGCCACAGACTGCTTTGTCGATGTTTTTCCATTGTCTAAGCATGTCAAGGCAATCACCATTTAAAGTTCCATCCCACCATGTTGTGCTTGGAAAGTGCAGCCAGTGTGTTGAATTGCAACACGAAAAGTGTATTGTGCTTTGCCCTTTGCATCAATTCTTTCCACAAGATGTTTACCAGTGATTCGAAGCTGATTTTGGGTATTGCATTCAACAATTACTGGCAATGATTCGAGTTCAGCTATCTGGTCCCTTGTAGACTGTAGTGTCTCATCTGTCATAGTAGCATATCTTCTTCCCTTTGGGCTTAGTGTATACTTGAGACTTTTGATCCTGCGGTAGATTTCAAGGCTCTCTGTTCTCAAATCCTTGTAAGCTTGATCATCATCTTTGGACGGTTTGCAATCCTTCTTTGTTTCCTCCACATTCTGCATCCACGTTGTTTCACCTTCAATGACCTCATTGTCAATTGCTGATAGCCCACCATCCAGACCATCTTTCATATGGTTGATGATTCCGGAACTAATACGCAGGCCTCCATTCTGTACCTTTGAGGGATGCATATAGAGGATTGGATCATGATGCACACTTGTACATTCAATTTTGATTGCTTTCAATTGAGCGGCTGAAAGTGGTTTCCCTTCTGCCTTCTCTACATACTTCTTGTGCAACTTCTTGGTGGAGAATCTGCCCATGCGAAGTGGGTAATCTTTTGAATCTGCCACTGCTTGCTTGGATAGCAGCCAATCTGGAGGGTTCGCGATGTAGGTGATATTTGGTTGTGTGCAGCAAATGCAACTGCAATGCTGATTCCAGCTATCTTGCATTCCACTTGCAATCCAGGCATGCTTCTTGTCGCAGCTCATAATTCCGACTGCCTAAAGAAATTTGCAATCAGTGGTCACCAACGACGGGTGTCGACGAATAAGTGGCTTTTCAAATGCACCACGGCAAAATGGTTCTGAGTCGACATGCTCCTCTCCAGCATCGTCCATCCAACCCAAATAAAGGCAATACCCGTGAATTTCTTCAACATTGTCTTTGCAAAAACAATATCAAAAACGAGCTCAAACACAATGAACTTCCGTTTGTTGCGCCAAAGCCTTGCGTTCCACAAGTCCAATCCAATGCACTTCATTCCAGAAACCGTCACTTTGTGGAGTTCTCGCAAAACGAATCTATCATCACAATCGTGAAGATTTAATTCAATTAGGGGGAGCATCTCGTTGGCTTCAGCACCTGGAAACAAATTCAAAAACACGCACTGGCTGTCGACAATTTTCCCGTCAGGGTCAGTCATGTTGACACAAAGCGGAAACAAACCGTTGTTGAGCAACAACTGAAGATATTTCCTAGGCGGAGATCCTGGCCTCAGAAACGAAATCGCCAGATTATGGTAGTTCTCTGCGCCCTTTTCAAGATATGCAATTGGTGAAACATGATCAGCACAGTTGCCTCCTTTTCGGTTTGCATACCTCTCCATTACTGCCGTCTGGCCTTCATCTTTGTCTCCGCCAACCACTACAACAAGTTTGTTTACCATTGAAGAGAACTTCTTGGAAGCAACCAGACAGAAATGTCGCTTGCAACTGGCGTGTTCCAAGGAGCTCTGGTTTCTTGCACTCCGAAGACACATGGTAGTTCTTGATACCTTTTGCATTCAACTGCATAGCTATAAGGCTGGTATCTTGGTCCACTGCAAACCGACCCTCTACCTCGGCTATACCCTTCTTTATTTGAGCCGGGAAGAACCTTCTTGGAAGCCCTTCTTTTGAATTCTTGAAGAACTGAACAATCTTGAGAATGTGGTTCACACTGCATTTGAGCCAATTTCGCAATGCTGCGATTCTTCAATTGAATAGAGCGACGCCACTCCACAAAGTAGTACGAGCGTTGCAAAACATCCTCTGATAAATATCAACAGGAGCTCTTCTTGCTCTTCAATTGCAGAGCCAACCAATTGAATAACAATAGCTTTGAGCAGACGCGCGATCTGCCTCTTTCTTTTGGGTGTCAATTCTGAGAAGGCCTTCCGTCGCCGTGGTAAGCGAACATAGTCTACTTTGTGTTGACCTTTTCCTTCCCCAACACAAATCGTTGACACGCCAGTTTCATTTACCTCCTCCGTCAACACACGGATAATCAACATTTGACTAATGCGGCGAAACTCAGGGTCCCTATCTTCCCGGTCCAAGGCAACCTGCTCTCGCATTTCTTTGAGCATGATTTTCCTTCGTTGGCAAGATTGCTGGAGGGCGGCTTCCATTTGCAATTGAGAATCAAAGACTAGTGTTGGTTCGTCCTCTTCGATGATCGCACGAGGGTTACATTTTCCTTCCTTGATCGTTTTCTCAATTAAGCAAACGGCGCTGAGGCGAGGGCCTTCTAGTGGTTTGCGTGAACATCCTGCAATGTGATTTCCGACTACTACAGCTCCGGACCGGTTCCTTGTGCCGTGCGATATCAAAGCTGGTAAGAACAGTTCTGTCTCGATGCCCCAGTTTGTAGTTTCTGGAGGCTTGTGGCTTGCGAAGACTGATGAGAAGAGAGGCTGCGCAACAAAGGTTGTCTTAAGAAATTCGCAGAAAACATCATTTGGTCTCGCGTTGTCCAGTTGCGGCCATGCTAAGCAACTGTTGCAATGCTTCAAGAAGAGCTCCTTGCTTCGTTCATCCAACGTCTTTTTCGAATACTTGTCAAAGAATTCTGGAACAGCAGACTGGCATGCTGCAGCCATTTGATCACTTGAAACATTTCTACTCCAGATTGTCGCAACAAGTTCCCACGGAACCACACTGTACTTTTTTGTTAGTCCACAAAGCGTAGCACACAAAGACAAAAGAAACAGTCGGAGCGGAAGAGGGTATTCCTCAAGCTCCAATCCATCAAGCTGCACTCCCAAGCTTGGAAAACTTTCAAATAATACCTCTTTTAAAGTTTCTTCTTGTATTGATTTTGTAGATGCTTTTTGACAGGATGCGGCTTCTGTGACTCCCTTTTACTCTTGTTGTGTTTCCATCCGAAGCACTCACGAATTGCATCGGAATATCTTTTAAGATTGCGAGGCTCTGCTGCCTAGCTTCTAGAGCCTCTTCGACACTTTCCAATTCATGATCATCTGAAACAAAACCACTTTCATCCAGGCGTGTCTCCAAGGCACCTTGATTTGGAGGAGTCACTATGTTGACTTTGGCTTCATCATCTTCGTTTGGAATCAGAGTGTTGACAGATAGTGGGAGCTGGCCATCTGTCGTCATCTTGTTGCTTCTGCTTTGCTGGTGACTGTGCCATGGTAGAGGAGATGCTTCATAAGCACCTCATTACACTTCGGATCTTTCTGCAACATTGCTGGCAGGCAATAATTTGGTTGGAGTTTTTTTGGATACATAAGATTCTTTGCGTACAACAAGACAGCGTTTGATTGGTTTGATTGGTTAAAACTGGAAGCGTTCAGGTTCTCATGGTTGGTCGTTTAACTTAAGATTTTCCAGAATAAAGAGAATTCAAATTTAAAAAAATCTTGAGTACTCTTTCAAACGTGTCAAAACTACTTCGCGCAGTTTTCCCAGCACATGTGATATACCGCTATGTGCACAGGGAGTATTTGAAAATGACGTATTTTTCGTACTAAAGCCATGGCAATCCGTGATCCAACGGTATTCATTCACGGATGATGTGAGCGACGTATTTGAAAATCAAATACTACCTCTTGCCGTCTAAAAGCACACACGACTAACAATACAGTTAGGGTTGGGGTTGGGGTTACAATCCTTTTACTAAGATAATGTACGCATCTTCTGTGGGATACGTCACCTCTAAAGTAACCCGGAAGCTAAGGAATATCAGCCAATCAAAACTAAGGTGTCGCTTACAAACTAAGCAAATGTGGAGGGAAAACCTTAAGCCAATGACAATCTTTTTCTTTTCCAACAATTAAGAATACTAAAACCAAAGAACAACTGCGGTCTAGTTTGTCCATTGTCCATGAAAGCAAAACATTTTTTCCGCTCAGCAATACTCCATCACCGTCGCTTGAGTAACTACAAACTTATCTAGCCATCTCTGAGAAGAATCCATCAAGCAGAAGAGAAATGGCGTCGCTCCAGGTAAAGTTGATTGTGATATGTTGTGATTGTCAATCATGACCGTGACAGTGTTCGTCCCCATTGCTTGACTACTGCTTTACCCAACAATACACCGTTGTCGTCGCTTGATTATCAGTACAGACTTATCAATCCATCTCTGGGGAGAATCCATCTAGCAGAAGAGAAATGGTGTTGCTCGAGGTAATGTTGATTGTGATATGCTGCGATTGTCAATTATGACCATGACAGTGTTCGCCATTGGTTGCATTACACTGTTGTCGTTGCTTGATTATTACAGACTCATCAAGCCATCTCTGAGAACAATCCATCCAGCAGAAGTGAAATGGCGTCGCTCAACAAGGTAAGTTTGATTGTTGGATGTTTACATCGTGCATCATGTTGATGAAAGAAGTCGCTCATGTCATGATATGGTTTTGTTGCATTCAACCAACAATACACCATTGTTGTTGCTTGATTGCTGAAGACTTATCAAATCAACCGAACAGAAGAGAAATGGAGTATGTCAAGGTAAGTTTGACTGTCGGATGTTGCAATTGTGAATCATGAAGATGAGGACGGTGGTCATCAATACTCAACTACTTCACCCAACAATACACCATTGTCGTTGCTTGATTACTACAGACTTTGTATCAAGCCATCTCTGAAAAGAATCGATCCAGAAGAAAAGAAATGGTGTCCCTCAAGGTAAGTTTGATTGTTGAAGGTTGCGATTTGCATTCATGACCGTGACAGTGGTCGCTATTGCTTGACTACTTTACCCAACAATACATTGTCGTTGTTGCTTGATTACTACAGACTCATCAAGCCATCTCTGAGAAGACTCCATCCAGCAGAAGAGAAATGGCGTCGCTCCAGGTAAGGTTGATTGTGATATGTTGTGATTGTCGACCATGTTGATGAAACAAGTCGCTCATGTCTTGATGTGGTGTGCATTCAACCAACATTACACAGTCCTCGTTGCTTGATTACTACAGACCCATCAAGTTGTCGTTGCTTTATCATTACAGACTTATCAAGCCATCTCTGAGAACAATCCATTCTGCACGAACTCGTGCTCAGACGCGTGAAGGGACCAGGGTACCAGTGGAGACCGTACATTCCGACGCATCAAGTGCGGGCATGAGTCGCAAGGGAGACAGCGTAACCTCCACCATTTCTCGCCATTCTCATTCGACTAGAACAGCTTCAGCCGTTTCCTTGGCCCGATTGGCGAGATATCGCAAATTTGAAATCGACAGTGATGAAAACAAAGATGCCCCGGATTCAGACCATGATGCTACACTTTCAGATGGAGCCCCTTCCAGAAACCCTCGAGGACCACAACCCGACACCGAGCCAGAAGATACAGAACCTGAGGACCAAGCTGAGTTGACCGATAATGAAGAGGAGGAAAGAGAGGTCCCACTCAGCGCTTGGGTCCATCTCCTGACAAATCACTGTCAAGTGAACAGCAAGCAAGACAACATCATCTGTGGCAAGCTAAAGAGCAAGTGCCGACTCCGCCTCCACAAAGAACTTCAAAGCAGTGGCGAACGGGCAGCCCCACGTTGGTATGAAGGAGTCCCGTCTACCAAGGACATTTACAAGGAAACAGGGGAATTTATTATCCACGGTCAACAATATGGTCAGTGTCGGACCGAGAAGGAAATGGACGAGCATCTCAACCGAGTCTCCACTAGGTTCTCTCCATCTCAGACGAAGAGGAAGAACATGATGACACCGATGTCAATACTAGCAAAGTGGATTCTGAGGGACAATTCTTGGATGGCTCGGACGACGACCACCAAGACGACCTTGACCAAATCAATGAACTGATCGCTGAGATTGAAGAGGCCAAGTTGAAGAAGCTGAAAGCGGAGAAGGCAAGACTGGAGGCAAAGAAGGCGGCAAGCCAGTCTCCTCGTAAGAAGAAGCGCAACCTCCCAGAGGAAAGTTCCCATTGCAAGAAAGAGGACACTGAAGGGAACTACGCCTAAACAAGTCACTATTGAAGAAGGCAACAATACTCTGAAGTCTCCCCCCCAGCCACCTACAACCGCCAGAATACTCAAACCGGAGTTAGCGGCCGCTGAAACTCAGAACAATCAGCCCATCCTCCAATCTGTCCTTGAAGCCATCCATCCCTACTTTGTAAAGCTTCAGGACTCAGCGGATAAAATGAGCAACGCAGCCAGACGGATGGAACAAGAAAGCAAGATTGCGAATGTTCACGAAGCCTGCCAGAAGATCCTCAGGAAAGAAGAAGACACCTTCAAGAATCAACGCTTCCAGTTCTCACACTACCTGGTCCGACTAGGCTATTCGACGGAGTTTGTGGAAAATTATGTTGAACGAGGTCTGATGCCCCGCATCATCAAGGAAGCCTATGTCAACTTCTTGGCCCTTCTCAACAAGATCTGCCATAAAGATATGGGCTCGGATGAAGCCTGGGAAGACTCGGAGGCCTATGTCATACTCCAGGTCCACTTGGAGAATCTCCTGGACATTCGCACAAACTCCAACAGCAAGAAGATGTTGCTCCTCCAAAATTACATCTACCTACGCGATGCCCGCAAGAAGGACTTTGGCAGCAACACCATCACTGAAAAGAACATTGGAAGGGTCAACAAGATGAATCAGAAGCTCCAAAGGGAGTTGGAATCTCTTCGAGCGGCCAAGGGTCGAGGAGGCCGGGAACCTACCAAGGACAAGGACAAGGACAAGGAAGGAGATTCAACCCTCAAAAAGTGTTCTCAATGCAAGAGTCGAACCCTGCACACTGCTTTGAAACTGGAGCACAACAAGACTGTTTGCCCCCTGGCAGGGCATGCCGGCTCATGGGCCAAGGTCGCGGCGGAACGAGTTGCCACTGCCGTCTTAGCAAACAAAGAGCGCCCAGTTGGAGATATTATCAAGGAAGTCGCAGACAACTGGCCCAAGAAATCCTAAACCGGGGGAGAAACCGGCCACCACCGGAGGTGCCACACCCATGGTATACTCTGAAGCAAAATTCCGGAGGGACCGCTTGGTCTACTCTGGGGACATATCCGAAGGGACGGCCGAAAGGCAGTCTACTTTGGGGACAACCATTCCAAAGGGACAACCGAAAGGTCTCTACTTTGGGGACAATGCACACATCACACATCAAGCCAAATGAAGCAGTCATTCATCATCCGAACTGCCACCTACGATCAACACCCACCACCACCACCACACTTGTGAAAGCAATATCAATTTAATCCGTTATAGCTGACTGTTCTGTTTGTATTTTGTTTAATTGGAAGGTGAGCAAACTCGTACAGATGGAGTCATGGCAAGTGGAGCAACGGTGGGAGTAGAGATTTGTAAGGTAGCTGCAACAACTTTGGTAGGACTGGAAACCCTGGGCATAATAGGAGGTGGATGTGAAGTCATGCGTTATGCATGGCCCAAGATGAAGGTAACATTCTCCATCAGAGAAAATGGGGAGACTGTTTCAACAGACTTGAAGGACCCACCAGTGGTGCTCTATGGACCCCACCGTCAATGGAAAGGGCTACTCGACACTCATCCGGTAGATCTTTTGGTGATCGAGAAAGGCCACTACACTCGACCAAGTGGCAGCCCCATTCGAGAACCATGGGAGGACATGGTGGATTCCGTGCCTCCGAAACACAGACCAAAGGTTATCATTGAATCCTGGCGCTCGGACCCAACTTTGTGGCAGTGCGGACCAACAAGCAAACCTACAACTACTAGATGGAGAGAAGCTTGCTACAATATCAATTGCCGTACTATCAAGGCAACAGCAATAGGAGGTGCCATCACCCAAGAACGGCTACTGGTGGTTCGGACAAGAATTGATTGTCGGGCTCAATGGACATGGGACAGTTCAGATTGAGATCTGTCTGTGATCCGACCTATGGGAAATCTCCTCACGCCACCGGGATTGGTACCGCGCAACTACTACTCCCAATCTGGCAGTGCACTCACACCCCATTCCCTACACAATCCGATGCCAAACCAAATAGGAGCATGGATCAAAACGGAGAAGGGTGTTCGACTACTCATGAAGGAAGAAGTCGCACGGGGACTGGGCATCCCCAAAGACTGCGCAACTGAACTGTCACACAAGAGCCTCCAAAGGACTACATCACTTTCCCATTGGGAATACCTGTCTTTCTCTCTACAACATTTCTTCAGCCACCCAACTTCTGCATCCGGGAAAACGGCACAGAGACCAAAGACCGGGAACCTCTTGTCCAGGGCAACGGCCATCACAACGATGTGTTCAATTGGCATCCCCTGATAGAAGTAAGCGATTCACTGCCCCTGCAATCTAGCTGTTCAATTGACTGCAATTTAGCTGTCCAGGTATTGTTGCCTTCTAAGTATGTGAATTTACAGTATATAGAAGTATATAGATCTATCAGAGATCCTACTTTATCAACCAATTCACTTGTTGCTTGCAATATATTATAAAAAGTGAGAACAGTCTGTCAACTTTTGACTTTGACTCTTTCTTCTCCAGCTCAGTGGAAATTCTCAGAATTCTCTCTATGGCACCCTGACATGCTGCAAGTTCAATCTGTTTATCCGTTCATCTTCCACAGTAGTCGGTACTTCAATTAGTATCCAACTTTGGTTCTTGTTTGAATCTTGCTTTCTTACATCATCAATATGATGATCTCCATAGAAATTAATTGTCTTTTCTGACTTGCCACGCGCGATATTTTAAGTCGCATCAGTCTTCATTTTTAGTCCTATCAGTCGGCATCATTTCTCTATCGTTCACATGTATTCTCTTTTTCTCGTTTCTCCAAATATGTACTTTGAAAATCCTAATATATCCAACACACTCCTGCCGTTTCATTAACATAGTTGATGACAACGGAACATCAAAGTAAATTCCGTTGTTCCTAATCTTGTTCTCCTTGAATCAATGATCTGAAATCCAAGAACTTTTGTCCCTGTAGAGGTTTGCTCATAAAATCTCCCCACATCTTTTCAGTTGGACGATATTCAATAGTCACATTTCCTTTCTTGACTTGATCAGTCATAAAGAAATATTGAATGTTCAAAGCTCGGCTTCGCTTTCCGGCACTATCACGTCCATTCTTTTCCAATAGAATAGAACTCTTGTTATCCTGATATAAGATGTTCTCTTCAACAGCTTCCACAAACAATTTTTTGTGCACAATATCTGTGTCGCAGCATCATTGACACCAATCAATTTGGTTCAACTTCTGCTTCATTGAGATTGTTTGTAATCCTCCTTAACCCATAGTCAATAAACCTCCAGTGTGACTTCTGAAATCTGGATGAACTGCAAATGATGCATCAATATACCATTTGAAAGTTTGTAAATCTTTTGCACTGGACATCGGAAAAGAAAGTATGGTCCTATTGGTCGGCTTGCTCATGTCACATTATGACATGGCTTGGTCTACTTTTGTCACATGGCCATGTGATTTTTTTGCAGCCATTTGACTGGAACCTTTTCATATTTATTTTGCCTCTGTGCTAATGTCACCTTTGCCATGCGAAAAAATCACCTACTATTTGTCATTTTGGGACAGGGTCTAGTCAACCATGTACTGAGTGTCTCAGTACCACCTTCACCCTGTCATTTTTGCATTGCCAACATCATCTATTGTCACATGCCCAAAGTGTTAATGTGATCACTACAACAATTGAAATATCACTATGACAATATATTAATATCAACTAAATAATACTTGTTCTATCTACTTTTCAGGAATCTATTTGCCATCATCCTCATATATTGTTACAATTTGTTGCCTTGCCTTCTTGCGCTTTTGTCCAGAGCGCTTGTGGTTCAGTTAGTGGTGTCACTGCTGGGCCATTCTTTGGCCAGTGCCTTCCATCTGTCCACATAGCTCCAACTCTCCACCATCAAAAGTGCAAATGCTTCATCCGTGACATTGAAAGCATTGCTCACAATATTTAATGACAAAAGAAGCAGGTGAGATCAAGGCTTTTGTCACACAACAGTAGCGCCGAAACATGAATACTCACCCTCTTTGTGTTCACGGTCCTCATCACAGCTCACACTTGAATTATTGTCATACACCTTTTCCTGTCTCCAAGACTCCCCTTCACATGTTGGCAAATAAACAAAGCATACTCAACCCAAATTGGCATCTTTCATCACCATAATATTTAGTGACAAAAGAAGCAGGTGAGATCAAGGCTTTTGTCACACAACAGTAGCACAAAACATGAATACTCAGAATGTTCTCTTCAACAGGATAACCTTGTGCTTCCACAAACAATTTTGTCCACAATATCTGTGTTGCAGCATCATCGACACCAATCAATTTGGCTTCTGTTGAACTTCGACTGTTCAACTTCTGCTTCTTCAAGATTATTTGCAATCCTCCCTCACCCATAGTCAATACACCTCCAGTGTGACTTCTGAAATCTGGATGAACTGCAAATGATGCATCAATATACCATTTGAAAGTTCGTAAATCTTTTGCACTCAGCGTCAGGTGCATTCCCTTTGTTCCATTCAGATAATACATCAGCTTCACTAGCTTCTTCCAATCAGTTTCATTTGGTTTCTGTACTCTTGTAGAAAGTACTGAAATAGTCGGAGCAATATCCAATCTCGCTCTCTTACTCAGAAATAATCCTTTGGCAATGAATGTGTGAAAAGTTTCACGTTTCTCATCATCCAATTTTTCTCCTTTTCCGATTGATAGCAAATCGTTACTTGCTGGTGTCTTACACCCTTCATTTTCCTTGAACTTCACAGGAAATTCATTCAACATTCGATTAACATAGTCATCCATTCGGTCTTTGACTTTCCCCCTTTTACTGAAATCTAGGGTCATTCCCAAATATTCGTGAATTTTTCCTCGCTTGGATTTGACTGGTTTGATTGAACCATACTTTTGATTCATCCATTTACAAAAATCATCATTCACTTTTGGATCAATGTGGCTTGATAATAGATCGTCCACATGAAATCGAATCGTTTGTTGTTTGCCGTTCACAATCTTGTTGGCAATACATCCATCGTATGGATTGAAAATAAAACCATGTTTCTCCATGTCTCCTCTCAACTTTTTGTACCAAAGCATAGAGGCTTCTAACATCCCGTAAATCACTCGTTTTCCGTTCTCAATCACAACGTAATCACAATACCTTGGCTCCAGTTGTATCATCATGTCGACCAATAAACCAGTGATCTTCATCATCACTCTTGATTTCGCATCCATTGGCATTTGAGTTTGAATAAATGCATTTGGAATATCCAAAGACATCATATCTCGTCCTTCATATGCATCAATTACACATGTGATCATAATCGCTTCCAATGCTGCAGTCGGACTTGAAGTATCCTCTCAAGATAGCCATTCTCGAGTTCCATCTGCTTTGTATACATATCTTCCTTTTATTTCACCAGTGTTTTTTTTCTGCTAATAACATCATAGCATCTTGGGCTCTTCTTTTTTCCAAATCAGTCATGTCTTCAACATGAATTGGTTCCCAACATTCTCTTTGTATCCATTGATCAAGTTCTTTCGTCACAGCCTTATTGCCTTCATCTTTGAATAATTTCAGTCCCTTATTTAGGTAGTATTGTTGGATAAACAATACTCCTTCATTTTGAACTTTATCCTTGATTTGTTGCATGAATCGCGCAATCAGAGTTGCCTTATCTCTTCCATATTCGGTTTTCTTGTCACTTCCAACCTGTTGGAATAGTAGATTGTATTTCGACTCTTTTTTCAGAATCCTTTTCCTTGAATTTTCCTTCATTGAAATTATTTCATTCAAATAACCTTTCAATTTCTTGACTTTTTCCTTTTTTCTCATTGCACTCCTGTTCTTTAGCAAATTACACTTTGGTTTCTTTCGATTTAGGTATTGTTGATTATACCTTGGTCGTTCTTGATTATTACGTTCGGTTGGTCTCATTTTTATTCCGTCTTGAACATAGGATTTATCATCATCATTTCTCTGTCTCAATCGTTCATAAATACTTGCAACACTCCTGTCTTCCGTCTGTTCTTTAACATTTTTGGTGTGTTCATCGTCATAGTTTTCAATAAAAAGTAAAGCATCAATTTCATCTTGATCTATCTTTTCATTACAAAGATTCTCATCGCTTTGTTTGTATTTATTTTTGCGTGGAATATATGTATCGTCCCACAGTTCATCTGGGTCCACTCCTGCGAGCAAATCACCATCCAATATGATTTCACCATTCTTCCAATGATAAGTATGTAAATCACAAACGCCCTTGTCGTGTACCATTTGTTCCACAATTTTGATCACTTGCTTGGTGATCGGAAGTACCGTTACATAGGGTCTCGTTACTGTCTTTTTTGTATTACAATCAAGTAACATATGTCCCCTTTGTATGCTGTCATTTGCCCAAGATGAATACCATCAATCGTTCTTGATTGTTGACTGTTGTTGGTCGTGTGACCATATCCTTGTACAAAGGATCCATTTTCAGCAACACATTCTTTTGAAAAATCCAACACATTCTTTTGAAAAATCCACCGGTTCTCGTCTCACAATCATATGTGGACTGTAATATTTCGAAATTCCCTCCTTTGCAGGATAAAAGTTAATAATCTTTGTCACATGCTTGAGTAAAGCAATAGTCAAAACCTTGGGAATTGCCTTGAACACCATTCAATGATAGTGTGCTTGGAATAATCCTTTCAATGTTTGATTGCTGCGCTCAATAGTTGGTTCGTGTTCGCCCGGCGCGGCATAATTCATGGTCACATCCATATTATCTTTCACGTCATCAATTAACCGGTTTGAATTCGTTGTCGCAATAAATAGTTTTGATTCGAAATTCTGCATGATTATAAATGCGTAAAATTTTGTCAATCAACTTGTAAATAGCATCTTTTGTCCGATCTTTCAGTTCAGTACTGAATCGGAATTTGATTGCTTTGTCAATGCTGACAAAAAACGCGACATTGTTGATAAACATAATGTCGATGCATAAATCCAGGTTCGAATTGTGTTTCAGTAGTTCCTTGGGCATTTCGATCCAATCATCAACCACCGCCTTTGGTGTTGGTCGCTTTTGTTTGCCCTTAATTGTTGAAACGCTTGGTCCATATATCTTTTCAGAGATATTAATATCTTCCTCCGTAATTGGACAATTTTTGAAAAAATTTCCCCAAATCGCCAACTTGAATAGTTCTGCACCAGGTGCTCCCATCATATGATAGCCACTTCGTGCAACATTTGCTCGTTTCACTTGTTTGTTTGTGAAACCCTCTTTGTTCTTCTCCACACTCTGTAGAGCACAGTACCCTTGCACATCATTATTATCAAGTCCACGTGCATGGTCATGAAACATTGTTGTTACCATAGCAGGTTCGTTAACCAAAGTATATAATCCATTGCGATGTCCAAATTGCCATGTAGTCCCATTTTTAGTCACAAACAAGCTGTTCTCTCTCTTTGTGTCCATAAATACATCAAATCCATCTTGTACCATATTCGACAAGCTGTTGACGTTGTCACTAGCTAGTGTGTCAAGCTTACAAACAGAATCAAATACCTTATCAATTCCTTCTCGATAAAGTTCTCTTCCCTCAACATTAGAGGCATAATGGAATTCTCCATGAATTCCTTGTAGACTTCCTTCTTTAAAATCATCTTCATTGGTTCGCAAATGAAAAGTAGATCCACTATCCAAGTGGATACCATTATTGTTGTGTTGAAATAACATCATCCCTTGTTGTCTTGGGGTGCAACATGATCTTTTGATCCGCATACAGATAATCAGATTGCGCATGGTCTTCCACAGACCAAAATATTCCCATTCTGTATCAACAGTAGTCGTCATAAAGTTCTTGATCCACATCAATAACTCCACAGGATCATTGAATAGTTTGTTTTCAAAGTCAGCTTCTTGCTCAAGCTTGTCCACCATGTGATCAGTGCACATTTTCATAATCATTCCATAGACATTGCGTTTATTGTTATCAAACATTGTTATCAAGCGCGTTCTTCCTGGCCTTCCAATCCTTTTGATCAGCCAAATAGTTAGTTCTTTCTTCATTCTTTATCTCCTTATCAGGATCGCTCTCATCAGTTACCAATACCAATGTTGGTTTCACACTTTCAATATCAAACAGACTCAAGGTTTGTACACTCTGAATCATGTCATGAATATGATCCATCTTCATCGTTGACATTTTGATCACCAATGTCTTCTTTACTTCATCAAAGCTAAATTTGGGAATGTTTCCTCTAATCAGAGGATTCTCTTTTTGGCTACCATTGCCACTCTTATTTCCATTGCATCAATCATTACCTTGGCCTTGCTGCAATCTGTTTCGTCCAGCATTTCTTCCATTGGAACCACGTCCAGAATTCTGAAATCTTCCACTCATCATGAACAAGTTCCTATTCTTTCAAGCCATAGGAATATATTGACTCCCAATTCAATTCAGTGACTTTTTATAATATATGTTAGAAGTAAGCGATCCACTGCCGCCTGCAACCTACCTGTTCAATTGACTGCAATTTAGCTGTCCAGGTATTGTTGCCTTCTAAGTATGTGAATTTACAGTATATAGAAGTATATAGATCTATCAGAGATCCTACTTTATCAACCAATTCACTTGTTGCTTGCAATATATTATAAAAAGTGAGAACAGTCTGTCAACTTTTGACTTTGACTCTTTCTTCTCCAGCTCAGTGGAAATTCTCAGAATTCTCTCTATGTCAGCCTGATATGCTGCAAGTTCAATCTGTTTATCCGTTCATCTTCCACAGTAGTCGGTACTTTGATTAGTATCCAACTTTGGTTCTTGTTTGAATCTTGCTTTCTTACATCATCAATATGATGATCTCCATAGAAATTAATTGTCTTTTCTGACTCGCCACGCGCGATATTTTTAGTTGCATCAGTCTTCATTTTTAGTCCTATAGTCGACATCATTTCTCTATCGTTCACATGTATTCTCTTTTTCTCGTTTCTCCAAATATGTACTTTGAAAATCCTAATATATCCAACATCCCCCAGATCTTTCCTTGGGTAGCCCCTGGCACACACTACGACTCGCCAACCTCCGCTGGGCCACTGACCATTACCCGGAACCAGACAACATCTACTGGGATGGCATCCAACAACTAGCCGTCCACCGGAAGAACTACAACTCGGAGGGACCGGACCCCAAACGACTTCAACTTTTATGGTGGAAGTTCCCGTCTGAGCACTGGGAGGAACTACAAAATGGGGCACGCCAGAATTTTATAAAACAGCCAGATCCCTGCCTCCGACCCAACGCTCCAATGGATGAAGAAATGCTAGAGGCTGCTGTCCAATTTGTGGACAAACTTGTTGAACTTGGGGTACTCCGAAGCATTGATGAAGGACTGACTGTCCTCAACAACGCCCCTCTATTTGTGGTCGGGAAGGATGGGCAACCGGGACAATGGCGGGTAATTGCCAACATGCTACGGGGTGGTCAGAACGATTGTGTTGGGCAGGACCCTGTTTTCATGCCCAGGATTGCTCACATTGTGGACCAAATGTACACTGAAGGATACTCTGCAGTGGTCAACCTGTCCAAGTTCTTTTACAATTTTCCGACACACCCAGATGACCGACCGTACCTTGGTCTCCTGCATCCTAAGACCGCGGAGCTACTGACCTACTATGGGCTAGCTTTGGGAGCCGGCAACAGTCCAGCCATTGCCTGCCGAATCGGTCTTGCCTTTGTACAACTTGTTAAAGAGAAATTTGGCGTTTTCCAAGGTGAAGCCAGAGCTAACTGCTACTGGACGGGAATACAAGCCAAGCGATTTGATCCCAAGCTTGGCTATGGATTCATCTTGACCTCCAACGATGGAGGAGCTGTGCACATCTGGGTCTGGGTGGACAACTTCCTCATCCATGGGCCCACACATGAAAAGACAGCCCAAGGGCTGCAATTCTTCTTGGACACGGCAGTTGACTGTGGATTCCTCTTTCACCCAAAGAAATTGGTCCTGCCTCATCAAGTTGTCAAGTACTGTGGTTTCCTCTTTGACACCACAGCTGTTCCTTGCCTTCAAATCCCAGAAGCCAGGAAAGAAAGGGCACTGGCCATATGTGATTACTTGATCCAATCTCCAAAGCACAAGAAGTGGTCCCGTCTTGGTCTTGCTGTTGCAGTCGGCGTTTTGGAATCTCTTACAGAAGCAACTCCCCGGTGATTGGGACATACGCATCTCAAAGAGTTCCATACCATTGTCCACCCACCAGGAAACGGAGCGGCACCCTACTACACTACCACCTTCCCCACCTAGTAGGTGCTCAACGAACTCCATTGGTGGCGACAGTTCTTCACCCGGAGTGAAGGACGCTTTGTCAGAGGATGGGAAGCTGCAACACTAGTTCCAACTTTTGGAGACGGAGGTGGAACTGGCACCGGGGGCACCATACAACTCCCAAATTGTGACTTTGAGATGTGGCGAGGAAAATTGAAACCATCCATCTACATCTTCCCTTCTGTATGGAAAGAGTTAGCGACCATGAAAGAGACCCTGCTTTGAATCAAAGAAAGCCCCCATGCCCACCAGGTGATTGGGACTACCGTTTTCTACTTCACTGACAACTCGGGAGTTTACTGGATTGCCACCACAGGCTCTTCCCAAACACGCTCCCTCCACAAATTGATTAGCGAGATCAGACTTCTTGAACTGGACCTACAATGTGTCCTCCAAGTTATCCATGTACCAGGCCGAGTGTTGATCACCCAAGGGACTGATGGCCTCAGTCGTGGCGTTTGGATGTTGGCACTTCAAGACATCATGGATTCTGATAGACTGACCCAGGCTATCTTTGATCCAGTCCCCTTTGACATGACTTTGGTGTGGCCCCACGATCCACAATTGGCCACTTTGACGCAGTACAGATCCTGGAACCAACCCTGGACAGCATCCCTCTGCCTCCACCAAACCACAGTATGGTGCCCACCGCCGGAGCTGGCCCGCCAGCTCCTCACCTTCTTGCTCAACTCGTGGGTTGAATGCCCATTCACCACCTTCGCGCTGCTCTTTGTCCCCAGAGTTGTTGAAGCTTCCTGGCGACACATGTCTTGTTATGTCTGCGAACTTGACACCATCTACCCGCACAAGACCACCCTACGCTTCCCACCACTCCTGCCGATACCAATTGTTGTTCTGTACATTGCGCCTCACACTCTCTCTCTCAATCCCAACTCTAGGTTGGACAAGACTCCCACTGCCGCCCCCTCTTGGCATGCCGCCCAAGCCACACTTATGCGCGGGTTGCCAGAGAGGGTTCAGCCGCAAGGAGATTGAGACACGGCTCCAATGCACATTTTCAGCTAAGGGATTCGGCCGGTTCCGTGCCTGTGGCTCCACCTACCACCGTGATTGTTTCCGAGCCGGGGAACCCTTCAAGACTCGCCGCCTCCGCGATGAAGGCCCCGCCACGCCACCTGGCCCAACTTTGTCTGCGAAGCCTGCACTGTGCGCCAGTACCTACAACGTGAATTAGTTCATGCCGACGACCTCCTCCTCTTGATGTTGGAACGCATCAGGATGTTGGACATCATCTCCTCATGGGCCAAAGGAACCCACGCTAGCTACAAGTTGAAACTAAGTATTATCCGCCAATTTGAGAACAATTTTGCTATACAAGCATTGAAGCCCACCGCTCTGCTGGCGCCCCCTTCTGGCCCTGTCAGGAATGGTACAGCCTCGGCCATTCCACCAAGAAACACGACCGAGGTGCTCAAACTCCCATCAGCTTTGGCACAGTCCGGGCCCTCCAATCGGCCGCTTCTCAGTGGTTATCACTGGACTCCCTCAACACCCCGCAAAATGCATACATGTCACAAGACAACAAAGTTCTATATCAAGATTGTTGACCGACGGATGGTTTGTCATTCCACTTGTTTGCAAAGGGAATGGTAGCACGAATGGGGGATTACTCCCGGCCATCTGTGGCCCTTTTGGATCGCCACATTTGAGCTCTGGATCACTTCTTGGACCGCCAATTCTATGAAGCCACCTCTGACGTCCAACGCCGAGACATCGCTCTAGCAGGGCTAGCTAACCTGGTCCTTTGGCTGGGTTGGCTTTGCTCAGCTGAATGCTTTGGCCTCAATTGGGAAGACTGCTCCATTCTGGAGCCTGAAGATTATGGGCAAGCGGACCTCCCAAGGAACTGTGGTATGGTCACCTTCAGACTTAACCCAGTGACTAAATTGGAACACACCCGCACAGCCAATGGCATTATCGCGCACACTACCCGGTCAGGCCTCTGCACCGGAAAGTGGTTCCGTCGGGCACTATCGTACCGGGTCCGACCTACAGGGCCCGTTATCTGCCATGCCAATGGCATTGCATGGACTTCTTTCTTCTTTTGCAGCACCTACCTTTATCCGAGTCTCTACAAACAACGCCTGGAAGGTGACCCCCTCCTGCTACCTTTTGATGGTACCCCATCAAATACCATAGAAAGTTGCTTCTGGTCCCTCCACTGCTACCGCCGCGGTGGCCGCTCACATGTCTCCCGAGGAGACACATGCGGCGGTCGCCGTCTCACAATTGGATCTGAAAGCCAGGTCTACGAACATGGGCGTTGGCGCCTCCGCCGCTCCAACGAAAAAGTAGGCACGAGCTATCGCGAATGGAAACCTTGTGAGCGAGTCAAGATCACCTTATACTGTCACTGAAGTGCCAGTTGCTTGGGGGGGGGAGAGCAATGTTTGTGGGTCGTACATCTGAGAAGGCAGAGGGGGAAAGAAAAGGACACAGGATTTATATCTTGCGGAGACTTCAAGTTCGTGGACTCTTCAAGTTGGAACTCTTCGAGTTCTACTCTTGGAGGCCCGAATCTGTGTCTCACCCGGATCGGAACCCGGAAAGCCTGCGTGGGCTAGGACAATATGTAGCCACCAATTATGAAACAAGATGTACGACTCCTAACCAAGGGGCAGTCTATGCCACCAATACTCTTTTTTGTGTTCAACACAAATTGAAATTCCCCGTCGATAGAAGTGTCTTGGAGTAGCAGCAAGAAATCAACCTAAATGAATACCAATAGATTATGTACGACAAGGTACTTGTACTCTTCTTTGATCCAGACATGATGGAGACGTGATACAAATCATAGATAATGTTTCGTTTATTATATCATGCCACTTCCTACTGTCTCAGATTGGCATACGTTAGAAGTGTCGACGGTAGTGTTGCTGTAGGGATTGTACAAAGACAGGGGAGACGCCAACATCCATCTGCATCATGACTTATTCTTGAACTCCGAGGCCAATCTCTCCAGTGATGCAAACCTTATAGTGCGGAACGAAACGAATACAAAACCTGTGAATACACTAACTGGTATTCAATAAATATAGTCCAAGATACATTAGTGGCAGTCAAAGTACGCGATACGACTATTTTTTTTTTGGGAGGCTATGATTGGCTGAAAAAAAACAAAAAATAGTCGTATCGTGTCCACTACTAAAATTTAAAAGTGTCCATTTGGGGCACGATACGAATTTATTATTTTCAGACACAACTATTTTTTATTTTTAATGACCCGGAAATAAGTAATTTACTGCATAAAAGGAGCTGATGTTAAGTCCAATTATATACATGGTGTGAAAACGCTTCTCTTAAAGTGAACCTAGCCCAAAGTAAAATAAAGTATAGTTGGGTCATGCTATATCTATTTCACGTCTGCTCAGAACATGCTACAGTAGCTTTGCTTCGCTTCCCTTCCCTTCCGAATATTTCTTTGGATCGATCACATCATGTCACAATTCTGTTGATGTAACAAATCAGTGTGCTGCAGACTACCACAAATATGCCTAGGAAATCCATAAAAAGGAAACATGTGGAAGTACTTTGGGAGATGCTGGAGGAGCGCGTCACCCACAGAGAGCTTCGAATGATGACAGGACGAAGGGACGCTGTTGCCGATCGTCTTGACTTCACTTTGCTGGAACGTATTCAAAGACTGGAATCGCGACGCTACCTGCACCAATCCAAGTACCGCATGTCGTCAAAATATATCTTTGAAGAAGACATGAAGGCAATTGCCAACGGAGATGTGCAGCCGTGGCTCAACGCAGATGAATTCCTGCAGAAATACCGCATGTCAAAAGCCAACTTCCACAAGTTGGTCAACAAGATTAGAGACTGTGAAGTATTTCAGACCCCATATGGCAAGACTCCACAATTTCCAGTGGAGTATCAGCTCATGGTATTCCTACACTATGTTGGAACACTTGGAGTTACCAATCCTGGGTCCAGAAACGAGTTCCGTATTGGGCATGGAACTGCAAACGTGTTCCGGAAAAGGTGTGTATTATTGTTGCCTTTCATTTGGTTTGGAAAGCAGTAACCACCATCTAAAAGTTTGGTGGCCAAGCGTTGCTGTCATTGAAGGGTGAATATGTCACTTGGCCTGATGCAGAGGAGCGTCAAGAGATTGCAATGCGTTTCCAAGAAAAGTATCTCTTTCCGAACTGTGTCGGCATCATTGACGGGACACTGTTCCCCTTATTCTTCAAACCTGTATCTAGAGATTCTTTTGACTATTATGGTCGAAAGTGCCGCTACAGCTTTTCTGTTCCAATTGTTTGCGATGACAAGAGAAGGATTCGGTACTACCTTGCAGGTTGGCCTGGCAGTGCCCATGACAACCGAATCTGGAAGAACTGTGATCTTTATAGAAATGCAAGTGAACGTTTCTCTGCGTTGCAGTACTTATTTGGTGACTCTGCCTATGAGTGTTGCCAACATATGGTTGCAGCGTTTCGCAACTATGACAGTCATCCAATGGCAAGGGACAAAGAACAGTTTAATATGGCACTGGGCAGTCCAAGAGTTCTATCCGAACACACGATTGGTATGCTAAAGGGTAGATTTCCATGGCTACAATCAATGAGAAATAAGATCACAGACGATCCCAACTCGCGGAGAAAAGTTGTTTCCATCATTGGAGCCTGCATCATTCTTCACGATTTCCTCATTGAAGAAACCACACTAGAAGAAGACAAATTCCTGTGGGAAGATGACGATGATAAGTCCACTCTTACCTCTCAAGAACCTCTTGGGGATGATGACGAGCTTAACCAGCCTATTCCGGAGTGGGCAACAGGAGACGCCTGTCGTATGCAACTGCAACAGTACATCCTAGAATTAAGGAACCATTAGATCATTAGACTTATGGCCTCAACAGCTACTATAGAACGGTATCAACTCAACCTTCTCCATCAGTTGGGCATGGACATGGTTTAATACTATTTTTCAATATCAACTACTCCATTATTTTGACTAAATTCAGTATCACTACACACTAGACTTCTCCTTCCAGCTCACGGTACTGTTTGAGAAAAAGGAATCAGATGCGGATGCATTTTCTGAATGTATCTATCACTGCGTTTGTTTGAAAGGAGCTCATGGAGCTCTGCAAGACATGCTTTCCTGAAGCTTGCCTCCTCCTCAATGGCCTTGCGTTTAAATACCTTCCGTTCTTCCTCAAAGCGCAAACGGAAGTGCTTCTCGTTTTGTGATATTTCCTCCTTCTTCAAAACGATTGTCTCCTCATGACGTTTCTGAGTCTTTGACACTTCCAAATCCATTTGGATCTTTGACTCCGAAAGAAAGGATTTTAGGTAATCCTGTTTGATACTCTTCTTTGTCGCACTTTCAAGTGGTTGGCCGTCGCTTGGTGGAGTGTTTGGACGCTTTTTGTTGGTAGCACTTTTCTTGAATTTCTTGTTTGAACTGGCTGTGGCGGTCCTCTGCTTTGCTGGGGGCGTTGGCGTTGCCATTCGTGGCGCTATGGCAACGCTTTGGATTGGAGTTCCAGCTGCTGGGGTTCCTTCTTTGGGTGGAGGGGAGGGAAGCGAGGTGCTGCAAGTGTTGCGACCCTTTTAAGTGATAATTGACTGTTTTCTACATGGACTTTCAACGGGGAGATGAGCAAACTGTTAGTCCACATTGATAAATTCCAACCTACTGCTTCTATAGTTGGCACCATTCATACCTCTTTGCAATTTGGATCCGCGACGGAATGGTTTTAGTGCTAGAAGTAGGTACTCTTGTGTACAACAAGGAGCATATCCAGCCAGATTTTCAGCTGTTGGATTGTCTCCATTGCCGCCATCAGCATTCTCAAGAGACAAGTCCCCATCTTCCTCGTCGCCAAAGCCATCATTTGACATGTCCTCGTTCGTCTCAGGTGAAACTCCAACACGGTCACTGAAGATAGGCTCAAGCTCATAGAAGTACTTGCGCCTTTTTGTTACTAAGTCCTTGAAGTTTCATTCGTCGTCTGCCTTCAAGCCAACGCAGTTGAGGCAACTCCAGAAATGCCGATTGACAGCACCTATGAAGTGAATGTCCCGTCTAACTAATAGAACAGATTGATCCGCACCGCAGGTGTGCTGTAAATCACTTTAGTCTTTTAGAATTTTCAGAAAACAATGAGGATTGAAAAACGCTCTGCAATTGCACTGTATTCTGAACATTCGCTTTCTACTTGTTCTAAAGATTCTCGTTGTCGTAAGCTAATACGTCCACGAGTACCAGTCATACTCCGACCAATACATTCCAACCAATATGCCATGGGACATGTAATTGTAATAAACGTGATTGGCGTTTGTGACTGGTGAGTCACTAATGGCGAATCAGCTTTGCTCCAACGCACTCCTGTGTCCAAGCGCACTAGGAGTATTGGTCGGAAGGGTTCATAATGAGGTTTCTGAATGTGTGGAACAGTGTTCCCTGCGTAGGCTTGGTGAAGAAGTCTCCCAGCATTTTGGCTGTCGGGCAGTGAAGTACTCTCATGAATCCACTCTTGATCTTGTCGGTAGTAGAAAAGTATCGCATGTTGAGGGCTCTTGTCTTCCTGCCGCAAGATGATCTTCCATTCTTCTCGAGCAGCATGGCGCTCTGATTGTCCTGGTGGATGATGTTGTCGACCACTTTGTATCCTTGTGAAATGATGAAGTATCTGGACCACATGATCATAGGTAGTGCGTCGTGTACTCCAACCAATTCTGCTACAGTCAAACTGTCGGTATTGATCTTTTGCTTGGTTGAGATAGCAATGATGGCGCCCTTACCCATGGTCAATACAGCACTTCATGTCCTTGTGAACTGCAAAGAACGCTTCCACCCACCATTGCATGACAAACTTGTCGTCCAACTCAATTGTCAGGGGCATGTACTTGGTAGCTCTCAAATATTTTTTTGATGGATCTGCCCAATTTTGCGTAGTCGTCTTCGTCTGGTTTAGAGACTCTGGTTGTCAAGAATGCAACTGCAGTCATTAAGTCCCCTCTAACTCTCTTGCATAGGTATAAACGTTTTGCCGTGATGTGGTGGAATAGTTCAGCCCTCTTGCTGTCCAACAATACCGGCTCATCCTTGACTTGGAACAGATGATTGGCTGCCGGTGATGTAGCCAGTCCTTTCATATCCTCTGGTGCTTCTTCAAGTAATCTGTCAACGTAATCGTCCATGGAAAACTTTACCTTTCCTTTTTCGCTGAAATCAATCGTGACCCCAAGGTATTCGTGCACATCACCTCTTTGGATTGTGAGGGGTGCCTCCTTTCTGTACCTTTCACTCAGTCTAGATGCAATATCCTCAAGGACTTCTTGCTCCATGTGGGAAACCTTCAAGTCAACAACATATATATATATATATAACTGAATCATTAATTGGTATTTATGCTACTTCTAGAGTATCCAACTGCCGGTGTAATACGGCTGTAGAGGCCAGGAACTAGGTTGCTGTTGGTCAACAAAGTTTGAACCACGTTGAG